TAATAAAAGCCCAGAAATGTCTAGAGAGGGAATCCCTTTGAACTCCTTGGGAAACTGTGCAGAAGGGGCTAATCTTTCGGTATAAAGCCTCCTAAACCCTTGGAATCAGTGTTGTGGGCACCAGAGGGCCTTGGGGCTGCTCTGGTGGGCTCCCTGGGGAAGCCTAGGTACCTGACGGGCTGTGAGTGAGAAGTGTCCTCTTCCAGGCGCCACCTCTCTGAGGACAAAGCCCCTTTGTCTTCCGTAACATTTCGGTCTCTTTAAAGTGGTAGAGCAGGCACTTTCTTGGGAAATGGCCATGGGAAAGGATCCTTGTTTCTGTTGGCGTCACTGAGCGAGGTCCAGCCTCGTGACTCTAGCACATGACAGTTGAAATGTCATCTCATCCCTCAGTCGGCAGCCCTGTGTGTCCTGCCAGGAGGCCACTGTGTAACCCCAGAGGCCCTGGGGTGTCTGGGGCCTGGCGTCCTTCCCCTTGCTTCACAGAGAGAGGCCCTTGTCTTTCACTTGTCCTCCCCACCCCCTCCTGACCCCAGCCCCAAGCAGAAGGGGCCCGGCCACGCACAGAGAGGCCCTGTCCCCAAGAGGCCACAGCCCCCGCCCGGGGTCCCCCAGTCTGTCCTGCAGCTCCCACTCCGAGGGACCCCAGAGGAAACCGTCACCCCACCGCTTCTTAACGCCTTGGAGAAATTAATCCGTACTGCTGCCCCCTGCACTGGCCAGGGGCCGACACATCTGAGACCTCGTGTGCCTGAGGGTGACAGAGGAGTCCACAGAGGTTCCAGGAGGAGATGTAGACCTTGGAGGCCTGCAGCCAATAGGATGTAAATAACCTGAATCCTGGCCATTAACTCTGAAGTCAGTGTTTTAAATTTTTCTAATTAGTCCACGTTTGCGGTGCAGTGATTACACTCACTGTGGGGAGCTGGTGCATGTACTTGACATGTCTCAGCCTTTTTATGTGCCCTTCTCCCCTCTGTCCTTGGTGCCCTTCTGTCTTTGCAAAAGATCATCCCTGTTTCCCATCATCGAGAAGCATCTGTGTTCATGGGGGCCGCTCTGCTTCCTCCCAGTGTTTGCAAGCGCTCGCTCAGGACCAGGGCTAGTGAACAGCATGCACCTGCCGCCCTGTGAGCCCAGTGATGGGACCCATTACCAGCGTATTTAAGGGCATCTGCTCTGGTGTAGGTCCATCCCCTCCATGCCCCGTTCCTCCCCTGCGCCCTTCATAACCAGGCTGAGCTTCTCATCTGCAAAGTTATAAACTTCAAGAAGGTTCTCCTGCCAAAGACCCCTGTGGCGGAGTCAGCTGTGGGAGAAGCATCAGCAGCATCCAGATCAGATCCACTCGGTGGGGTCTGGCTTAGTGTGACCCACGAAGCAGGGTCCTCCTACCTCCCAAGTCCTGCTCTCCACTCTGACCTGCTTTATCCCACCAGCGCTATGATGTCCTAGGGGAACCGGGACCACACTCTGGAGTCTGCAGCCAACCAGTGTCCCTCTGCCCTGCCCACTGGGCAGCTGTGCTTCTCCCCAAACCTGGGACCCATGTGTCTCCCCCCGGGGTCCCCATGTGGACTCACTCAGCAAAATAAACTGCAACTAACGTCTCTCAGCCAAGGACATCTGTCCTGTTAAGTGGCACTCTGATTTTTTTTCCCCACTCCTTGTTGGGGAGAAGAAAATCCTTAATTTTAGATTGTGGAGAAATGTCCCGTGGCAGTTATTTTTGCTTTCTTCCAAAGGATGCATGTAAGTCAGTGAGACCCACTCTAGCCCTGGAGCCCTGAGAGTCTGGTCAGAGAAGTTGGCGCCCACCCTGGCATGCAGTGATCGCAGGCAAATAGCCTGGCGCAGAGGGGCTGGCAGGGGACCCCAGCAGATGCTGCTAATGCAACCAGGCCTCGTTGTGTTAAATGAGCCATTATTTAATTATCCACTACTTTTCCAATCTATTAACCTGCTGAAAAAGAGACCGTGGTGCCTAGGAAATCTCAGGCTCATCACTCCCTATTTTACCGTATTGCAGTAGTTAACAGACGGCTTCCCCTCGGGTTCCTGACAGAGGTGTGGGGTGAAGATGGGAGGGACAGTGGGAGGGAGAAACTCAGGGTCCATGGGGAGGTTTCACCTGGGTCTCACATTTCTCACAGATACTTCAAATGGAAAGACACTGGAGAAATGTGGCATTGTTGAGGGAGAATGTGCAGCCCGGATGCCAAAATTCTGCCCAGGTCACTCTTCCGGGGTAAAGGCTTGGGCAAGGCTTTGAGATTGTGGCACCCACCCTGGGGTGGGCAGGGCTACCTGCAGGCCTTGGGCTGGCAGGAGGTGGCGAGCCGTTTCCTTCTGGGATGACTATCCATAGGAAACACTTTCCAAGAGGTACTCCTGGGAACGTAACAGTGACGTGATCTGTTGCCTGATTTACAGAATAGACACTTGTGGCCATTAGGGACAGTCACCACCACCAGGACATGTCCTCCTCCGTGATGGAAGACTACAGGGACAGACAGTGGAGGAACACACGGGCAGGCAGGAGAAGAAAGAATTACTTAGGTGCATGATGTAAAATTATAAAACACAGCTGACACCTCGTGGAAGTAAAGATGGTGTTCTAATCCTACAGTTTTCCACTCACCCCACCATATATGCTATGTTTAAAAGGAAGAAATTTAGAGGAACATGTCACAAGGTGGGGACGCTGTGTGGGATAAACTGACCTCTTGAACTGAGATGTTTTTAATGACACATTCTGATATACCTCTTTCCATTGAGAATAGTGTTGTAATAAATCTCTAAAATTGTGGTGTTTAGTGTTTGTGAGCAGTGAACAAGGAAGCCTGGCCGACAAGATCTGGCCCAGCCAGTCCACCCTCCAGGTGGGTCTCCCCCAGCTGCTGTGAGCTGTTGGACCAGGTTCAGTTGTTTCTTCCTGTCAAAGGATTCAGCATACACAAATAAAAACATCAGGGAAAACTGTCTTGAATGTGTAGAGATGCTTTCTTCCGGTTCTCTAAACCAGTGCAGTGTAATAGCTATTTGCGTGTCACTTACATGGTAGTAGCTATTGTAAGTTAGCTGAGGTCATTAAACTTTATGGGAGGATTGCGTAGGTTGTATGTGGACACCATCTCCTTTTATGTATGGGACTTGCACGTCCTTGGATTTGGGTATCTAGGCAGGGGGACGGGGATGCCATTGTGCCCACCTCCAACTTGCCGGGTGTTTTTATTACTGGGGCTGCTGTAACACAGTACCATACTCTCGGGCTGCACCGGCAGAAGCAGATCCCTTCACCACTCTAAGGCGGAAGTCTGAAATCTCGGTGTGGCTGGCCAGGGCCACACTCCCTCTGAGACCCTCGCAGAGCCATCCCGGCCCCTGGCCATGGCCAGAACCCTCCACGCTCATAGCTGTGCAACTCCAGTCTACCTGTTTTCCTCACCGTTTGAGGACAGAAGCCTACTGGATTAGGACCTGCCTGCCCATGGACTTCTCCTTAACCCAGCACATCATTTAGTGACCCCACTTCTAAACAACGCTCCATTCAGGGCCCAGGGCTAGGATTCCAACAAAGGGTGGCCCTCAGCTCAGGCAGAGATGTTGGGCAGATATACCTGGAGTCCACGGGGTGGATCTTGGGCTTCATCTCACACCCAAGGCATTTAAATTTCAGTGGGCTTGGAGATGGGGATTTAGCTCAGCAGCATAAGCGCCTGCCTTGCAAGCAGGCAGTCGTGAGTTCGACCCCTGGTATCGATAAAAAGGAAAAAGACAAAAAAATATTTCATTGGGCTGCCTGGGGCAGTGTAGACGATGCGGAAACTCCACAGGTTGGAGAGACGAGAAGCCTCCAGCTGTGAGACAGAAGTGGGTGAATGGGAGAGAGGTGGGAGGAAATAGGAGAGGGGCATCCTAGAATCCAGCATGAGGCCAGGATGATGAAGCTGAGTCAGGTTCTGTTGTTGGGCCAGATCACAGGAGGAGAGCAGAGCAGGGCTTTGCAAAACTGAGACAACACAAGACCGCTGCACAATTGCTGGTGAGCAGGGTCCTAGAAAAAAGCAAGCCTGTCCTCCTTCCTCCATCTGTAACTTTTTAAACTTGATCGGGATTCATCTCCCAGTTCATCCTCTGAACGGCTGGCTGTGCACCTGAGTTGGGACAGATGCTGGGCATAAAAAGGTGATAGGGTGTGATAAAAATATAGATGAATGCTGAGATTTTAAAAAATTGTTACAGTGAATTTTACCATGAAACTCCCTCCCTCCAGAATCTCCCCTTGCTTCAGACACTCATCCCATTCATCTTGCCACCTTCTGCAGCAGCTCTGGAGTCCTCTTTCCTGAGGGTCTTTATGAGGTGTGGTCAGATCTACAGGGATTGCTGCTGCCCAGTGCCACCGAGTGAAAGGCAGCTGGTGAAAACAGGACACAGTCCTTACCCTCCTCAGTCACCGGATCTGGCACTGAGCTATTTCTGGCTCCTCCCCAAATGGTTTAAATTGATTCCAGGACATCAAGGCGGCCACAAGTCAGACTCACAGAGCAAACATTTTTATTGCACAGAAATTGTACCTCAGTAAAGCTATAAAAGCAAGCAAAGTGACATTTGTGGCAGATATCACCAAAAAGCCCCACAGGGACAAAGTGACACCGGTAGCCAGGAGATGAGGGAGGCTCCTGAGGGGGTGGCTGTGTCAGGTTTGGGTTTCCGGGAAAGACTGGCAAAGAGGGCATCGAGGGTGTTTCCATCGGGAGGAGTTGGGCGAGGGCCCTGGGGGTAGTGCGCCTCCTCTTTGTGAGAGCCAGGGGCTTAGAAGAGAAATCCCTTATCTCACAGCATTGCTTCTTAAGGCGCGGTGCATTTTTGCCAACTGATACATTGCACTTGGTACTTAGTGTTTTTTTTAAATAAAATTACTCAAGAATATGACAGTATTCAAGTAATCTGATGCTTTCTGTCTTTTTTTTTTTTTTAACCTTGAAACACAAAAGTTACAGATCCTCGTGGACACTGGAAGCAGCAACTTTGCTGTGGCGGGGGCGCCACACCCCTATGTGGACTCCTACTTTGACGTGGAAAGGTGAGTGTGTGGCCGGAGCTGGAACCCACGTGGCTGGGCTTGGGGACACGGCGTGAACCTGCGCACTGACTGTTCCAGGGCAAAACAGACAGGGCTGCCCTCTTTTAGGAGGCTGTGGCACCAGGCACATCTGTGTTTGTGTAGAGACTTGTACATGCATGTGTGTGTGGAATACACTGCATACGCGAATATGTGGGTGCACACACGTGTGCATTGCAGTCCCGAGGAACCATAGCAGCCTTGCCCTAAGATCCCTGGTGTGTTCACACGGTGGATACTATAAAATTCCAAGAGGGACATGAGTCTGGTAGCTAGCCCAGAGCTTCCGGGAGCTTGTGGTCCTTTGACGTTTATTGCAACTCCTGTGGTCCTCACAGGGAGGCTGGGGCAGGGAGAGCATCCCACGGGAGCCTGAGGTGGCCTGTGCAGGAGCACAGTGGGCACAGAAGCCACCTTTGCACATTCAGGGGGCTCTGGGGACATCTCAGGATCCGACTCTGGAGAGAGAGAGCTGGAACTGAGTGCTGTGTGGATGGAGTGGGGGAGGGGCAGAGGTGAGGATGGGTGGGGTGAGGCTGTAAAAGTGACTGCAGCCACCTGAGGTCACTGGACCATGGGGAGCTTGGCTTCAGGCAGGCTCTGGACACCTGTTTCCCAGGAGAACTAAGCAAGGTGCAGGGAGGACTACAGGGGCTCCCATCAGCTGCCAGCCCTGGAGGAGCCCCATGATCTGAGAACCCCCCCTATATGCCCCCCACTTCTGGGAGCCTGAACACTTTACCTTCACATCTGTCTTGTCATAACTGAAATTTAAACTCAGGCAGAGCCAGTGAGCCGGCATGCAACGGTCTGTTTTCGAGGTCAGAGCTGTTTGGAGGCGGTGGAGTTCCCCACTGCAATCCTTTCATCTCTTCCCGCCCTCGTTCCTGAGCCGCAGCCTCCTGTGCCAGAGCTGAAGGCCAGCTCCAGTGAGGGAACAGAGGGAAAATGGAAGCAGGGAGGCTTCCAAAGGTGCTGGGTGGGCAAACATAGCACACCGTCTGGCGGCGTGGGGAGGAAATTACGGAGGGAACCCACCCGTACCTTCCTGCCTGCGCCGTGTCCTGGCTGCACTTCGATGGCACCTGAAGTGGTCTCTGTGCCCGTGTGGCAGCTGCTGCTGTCTGGAAAGGGGATGTGGCCATCAGTGGCAGACAGAGCTCACAGGGCGACAGATCCCTGTGGGTGCCCCGTCCCTCGTGGAACTTAGACTGTCGTATGTGAGTTCTTGCACTCATGAGGCTTGATCATTGTTGCCCCAGGATCCCCCAACTGGCCAGCCATCACCTCAGGACAGAGAAGACCAATGTGTGTCGGAAGTTGTTGCTGTCACAACAAACAAGTGGGCAGAAGGGGGTGGTGCTTCTCTGTGTGGGAGGATGGGAAAGCAGCTGCTTCTTAGTGGGGTATATGCCCTCCCTCACTGGGACTGGGGGTTCAGTCTAGCCCTTCCCCATGCACACAGCCCCCTAACTCCCATTCCTTGCTCAGGGCAGCCTCCTTGTGGAACAGGGTATCAAATTAGTCCAGACCTCCCACTATCATCCATGTAGTTCAGGAAAGCAGGGTGCCAGGATCCTGCTCAGGTTCTGGCTGCTGGACCAACAAGTGCCCCAACTTTCCACCCCACACCCCCTCTTTATGGCAGGTGCTTTGTGAGGTGCTGAAATGAGACTAAACATCAGATAACTCACCTGCATAGGAAACTCTCAGTGACCCGTGTGGCATAGCTGGGTCCCTCATCAGCTCATCCTTGATGAGGAAATCTGAAGTACCCCAAAGCCCAAAGACTGAGCCCCAAACTAATGCAGCTAGTAGGAGATTTCACCCCATCTCCAAATCCAGAAACATCCGACACCTAATACTTCTGGTCCCAGCATTTTGAATAAAGGATCGGGAGCCCTGTGTGGAGGAAGAAATGGAGAACGTGTGGTAAGATAATCAGTACTCAATCCATGAGCAACGTGGTCAGGCCACCATGGTGGTTGGGCATAATATCGACACATTTACCTTCGAGATCCATTTAACAATTTGTGGGACACACTTGTAGGTGTGTCTGGGTGCTCGTGGAGGCATAATCTTGGGGTCTATGTCTGGACCCTCAAGTTTTCCTCTCTGGCATTGTTTGCTCTGCTCTGCTGCCATGAACTGAGCAGGGTTGTTCCATTATACCCTTCCACTATGATGGGTCTCCATGAGAGCAGCTGACCATGGATGGAGTCTCCTGAAACCATGAGCCGCATTAAACCTCTCCTCCTCTGAGTCGTGAGTGTTAGATAATGGGAAAGCTGACAAATCCACCCACACTGAGAAACCAAGAAGGAGGGGCTGGAGGTGTATAGGTGTCGCCATGGACAGGCACCTCCGGGGTGGACTGATCAGGGCTGATGGGGTTAGACTCAAGCACACAGAGCAGCTTGGATTGCTAATACAGTTTCCTGAAGTGGTTAAGAATCCGCATTAAAAGTTTTTCAAAAGTATAAACTGCTCCCAGTGAGCTGGCTAGTTGATATCCAAGGCCTGTGAAGTCTGTGTAGAGAACACTTAATGCATATGGGAACAGAAGGTGTGTCCTGAGCTCAGGTGAGATTTTTGCCCGTGTGGGTGCCCCGATGATGGACAGCTATTCTTGTCCAGGAATCTAGGCTTTTATTATTGTGATAATGGCCTTTTAATGGCCAGGAGAAAACACCTGCCACTGAGTGTGAGGTGTTACTGTTTTAGGGTAAATCAGTCTCTGGCCACACAGTTGCAACCCCAGACTGGAAATTGAACCCAGAGTCTTTGAAATGAGCTTTGTCCAATTTTTCTTTATGGGACAAGCCCTTGCTAAGTTGCGGTGCTTGTACCTGGTCCTCTTCATGCAGGGTCACATAGCTTTCCTGTCACATAGCTGTTGACAGATGATGTAACAGAAGGAAACAGGAAAGCCCCTACTGGGGTGAGACTGAGGGAAGCCTTCAGATTTAAATGTGCAGCTTTACCCTGATGGCCTCTCCCAGTGGGGAGGTGGCAGAGGGCGAGTCTCTGGCCACTGCCCCTTGCCTTGCTGGTTTCATAGAGCTCGGAGTTCGCCGCTTCACCCAGGCACTATGCTGTGCGAGTCTGCAGTATTCAAGGGCCAGTCATGGTCACCATTGCAAAAGTCTGTGTACCTGTCACTGTGTGCAGAGTATTTAACCACCTCAGCCTCCTCCTCAGGGGCCTCTGACGGTGGCCACTGCTTGGACAAGGGGTGGCTCCCATCCGGTTCTGGAGGACACACCTGTTTGACTGCCCTGCCCACCTGGCCTATCTTAAGCAGCTGGATGTTGTGCTGGGGTGGCAGATGCCTCCCTTTTTCTATGCTTAGAGGTTGTGTTCCGGTTGGCAGGTGATTCCCTTTTTCCATACTTAGAGGTTGGGCATCTCTGGCCCGTCTGCATCAGAATTAAGGGACACTCCTGGGGCCTCCGTGTTTCCCTGGATGGCCAAGCCTTCTCTCTGCTAACCTCACAACAGAATTAAAATCACCCCATTTGCTTTCGACCCCTGAAGTGTCCGATGCCTCTTTGCAAATAAATAAAGAGAAATAACAGAGCCCACCCGTGTCTGAGACCCTGGACTTCCCTCCAGATCAGCCACACACACACACTTCCTCCTCGCTACTGCCTGAGCATGTACTGCAGGAATGTACTTCCTGTGTGTGAAGTTGCACCCACATCCAGGCCCTGACCCTGGAGCTGCCTTCTTTTCCGGGTGCCCATTCCTCAGTGTGGCTGTGAGCCTTCTCCTAATCCCGGTCAGATAGGAGGGAATGTGTTTCTGAGCTGTACAGTTGTGATCTGCCTCTGGAAAGAAGCAACTGTTTTCTCCCCATGGGAACTCTAGGACACTAGTCTGCCTGATGCCTTTTGCCGCCTTTAACCTTGGCCTGTTTTGCACTGTTCTATCTTACGGAAGCTGAGAGAGTGCTGTCCTGGCCCGACAGAGGTGTCTTTCCTGGGGCCCGGCTGCCTGTCCTGTGAAGTACTGGCGTTTGCTTCAGCCTCTGATCTCTCTTTGTTATAATAAGGCTCCTGGCTGGGCTGTGGGCTCTGAGTCATGTCCCCAGTCTTGGGGATTTGGGGTTGGTGCGTCCTGAAATTCACCACAGTAATTGGAAGTTTGGCTTGGGGCTCTGTGACGAGCTCTCTTTGATTAACAGAAGGAGACACTGGGCCACAGTGAGTCACCCGTCTGGCTCGTCTCTATCCGAAGCCCTCTCTCCATGGTGGTGCGTGTGCCATCGAGTTGCAGGAAGAACAGAAAGGAAAGGTCGTGTGTTTTAAAGTGCAGTTCTTTTCAGCCAATAGAATAGTGTCCAGCCAGTTGGCTTGGTGAGTGGTCTGTCTAGTATGTGCATCCTGGGCCTTCTCCTGATCTGTTTGGGAAATGAAACACATTTCCATTAACAGCTCCTCAACCCTGTACTCCATCCAGGGTGAAGCCCCCAGAGAAGGTGTAACAGGGAACCCATTTACAGTAGTTTTGCAGCCAATGCAAAAATAGGTCCCGGAGGGGGCTTACTGAGCTGTCTTTCTGACTCAGGGCTGCCGGTGCTCCATTCTGGTGATCCTGGAGGAGCTACAAGGCTAACTGGTCACCTGAGCCAGGCCAGCAAGCCTGCAGATAGGTTCCAGATGCTTTGGGGTGCAGAGGAACCCCGGGGGACACAGGCAGAGCCTGGAGACCGAGCCTCCCTAGGTGGGCTGGTGCAGGGGAGACAGAAGTGGGAATTTCCCCCTTCTACCTTTTCCCTCTTACGCATTCTAAAAACAATGGAGAGTTTATAAAAATAGTAAGATCTTCTGTGGCTCCGTTCTCCCCTTCAGTTGATTCTGCTTCTTAATTTTGCCTTCCCTGATCAGAAGCAGAGTCTTGCAGATTTTTTGAAAGTCTCCCCTTGCTGTGAATAAACTTTTTCCTGGCTTTTGACTGCCTGCTATTTCAGAAGTTCTCCCTCAGGGATCTTTCTCCATACCCATAATTAATGCACCCAGAAGTCAAGGACCAGAGCACTGTAGCTCCAAGAGCCAGGCGCTTAGAAAATGAAGTTGGGCCTTTTCTTAAATTTAAAGAGCTGGAAACTGTATGCTAATAACCTGCAGAGTTGCTCAGAAGTCCTCTCAGGGTTGCACTCTTTAAAGATTAGGAAGAGAAACCCAGGGAATGGGTGCTCAGGATTACTTTTGCCTCACAGCCTCTCTGATGGTATTTCTACAAGGGTGGCCACTGATCGCTGTGGCTACTTAAATTTAAATTGATCAGTGTTGATGAAATAAAACCCTGGTGCTGGGGTCACACTGTCCTCACATTATCAGATGCGCAAGGATGCTGTGTATCGGACAGTGCCAGTGAGGACCATTGCTGTGACTGTGGCAGGTTCCGGTGGTGTGGGCGGTACTGATCTGGATGTTAGAGGAGCCAGACCTTGCAGAGGGCCTGGAAGCCCCCGCCCTGCCCCTTAGCAGAGCTGCCTCCCTGGGGGATGGGTGCCCCTTCTTGTGAGGGCTGTCGGACGTTAGAACAGACAGCACCGTCAAAGCCGCTCTGCTGGAGCGTGTGCTAGAGGGAAAATTGAGTTTTCTCATTTCTAAACTCCTAGACTGGAGAAAGATAGCAAGTGATAATTAGATATTTGTAATAATGGCAGCTTTTTGTTGCATACCTGCTGTGCTCCGAGGGTACATCTAAAGGCTTTCCAGTATTACTCTGCATCTTTAACGGTAGTAGGCTATCCCATGTTTCAGCAGAGGAAGCTGAGGCACAGGGGATTTAAATACCTGGGTCCCAGCATACAGCAGAAGAGCAGCTGAGCCTGTGCTTGAACCTGGACAGTGTGACTCCCCCGCTTCACTCCCCTCCTCTTCTCCCTGCATGTGGCTCTGACGTACCCAGAAGGCTCCCTGAAGGGTCTGGCAGCCTGGGCGAGCAGTGTAGAGCACAGCTGGTTACGTCCTTAAATAATTTCTCATTCTGAGGACTTGGCTACAGGCTGTAGGAAGTTAGAATAAAACTTTTCTTCCAAAAGAACCCAGAACAGGTGAGATGTTTGAGGGAGATAACTAATCTACTGATCAAGAAGTGGTACCCTGGCTGTCTCAGATACTTTCTGTGCTGGGAAAAAAATACCAGATACCTGTCATTTAAAGGCCTAGTGTTTCTGCTGTAATGGTTGGTACACTGCGTCACCTTGAGAACTAAGCCACTTAACTCCTCTGCATCCTAGTGTGTAGAGCGCTGCCCTTAGCCCTCCATGATATTGTTCATTGTGTCAGCTTGAGAAGCTTAGATGCTTACCTGTGACTTGGCAGTGGGACAGGGTCCTCACTTTGTAAATACCCTGAGCTCATGCAAGCAGAGGGCAGGGGGATGGTGTGAGTGCTCCCCCTGCCCCAGAGCCCAAAGCTGCCACAGGGTAAGGGAGGAGAAGAGGCTTGTTCCCCTGCCCCCTCTTGCTCTGGCTGCTTTTACTGCTGCCTTGAAGTGTTGCCCCCGTGCCCTGCCAACCTGCCTTGGAGCCAGCTGACTATGGACTGAAAATTGTATGAACCGTGAGCTACATAAACCTTTCATTCCTGACTTTGGGTGTTGGGTATTTTGTCCCAGCAACGAGAGAAAATTAACTAAGACACGCTTCAAAGTCAGATGGCATTGAGGCAGGAAGGGTCTGGTGGAGGAGAGCCACTCACATCCTGGTGGACAGAAAGCAGAGCGAGCAGGAGGAGCCAGGCTGAGAGATGGACCCTTCTAGGCCACGCCCCAGTGACCCACCTCTTCCAATCGGACTCCACCCCTATCAGCAAGCTAGTGACATCCCTTCTGTAATTCATCACCTTCCCAAAAGCCAATCCTGTGAGCCCATGAGGCCTTTGGGGGCCATTCTTGGTCCTACCCACAGCACTAGGCATGGGCCAAATCTGGTCTTCCTAAATAAAGTTTTATTGGAAACACAGCCCCACACGGCACCCTCTGCCTCACCGTGGCTGCTCCCAGGGAGACTGCAGAGCTCAGCGGCAGTAACGGAGCTCCCGGCATGGAAAGCCTGGAGCACCGGGGCAGGGGCTCTTCCTAGAAGACCGAGCTGACCCCGGGCTAACTCAGATCTGCCCGTGCTTCCAGGTGTTGGCAGCAGTGTGTTCTGAAGTTCGGGGATGGCCCTAGGGTGTCGAGATGGCCTGAATGATTCAGGATTGTTCTCTTGGTATCCAATGGAAACATGCAGTCCACCCTGCACGCCAGGCACCTTTGGCTTGCGTGATCACTCGAATGTGGTATCCACCCCTGCATCGGACGCCCATGTGGAAAGGACCTGCTGGGCAGCCCACCTGGGAAAGGCGGCTGGGTCTGTGTCCACACTGCCCTGGGTGCTCCTTGCGTGCCCAGCATGATCCCTTTTTTTTTTTTTATCAGTACTGGGGATCGAACTCACGACCACCTGCTTGCAAGGCAGGTGCTTATGCTGCAGAGCTAAATCCCCAGCCCTGTAGGAGCACGATTCTTTAACATCTCTCTTCTTTAATGCCATGGTGGAGCAGTTGGGAATAATTAGCAGATCTTAAAATTCGGCCTTCCTCATCATCTCTCCCTCAGTATTGTGTTAGCATAAATGAAATTTCTCTAAAACTTGCTCACCAGACATTCTCAAAGTAGGTTTTCCTGATGGTAAGAGTTGTATATGCGGAGAAAATGGAAGAATTTAGCCACAGAAATAGAAGCTCCCCCCACTGCCCCGCCTACCCAGAGGCAGCAGCTCTGACCTCTAGGAAGGGTGAGCAATTTCTAAGTAGACTCCACCATGTGCGTGCGTTTTGCTTCTGACTTTGTTTCCTCCTCTGTCATTTAAAACGCCTTGGTAAATACCGTTTTTCATTGCTGCATAGTGCTCCATCGTACAGCCGAACCATAACTTGCTGAGTCTCTGCTTCCTTTTTCCTGGGCCCCCAAGTGGCCTCCTGCAGTTCGCTGTTACCAATTAAACAGGGGCCTCTATCTGTCTCTTGCTCTGTCCTCTGGATCGGATCTGAGAAGTACATTTCCCGAGGCAGACCCGGTTGCTGTGTTTAAGGCTGTGCGATGTACCAACACTAAACACGTCAGTAAGAGGTCGGGTCCTTTCCAACTCCTCTGATGGCCATCGAGAGGGCGCTGGTGCTTACCTTCCTAGAGCAGAGCCCACCAGCTTGTCAGAGCAGTACAGTAAAACTGCGGCAGACTGGAGCCCTTTGCAAGCATTTATGTGGCGCTTGGACTCTTATCCTAGGAGTCCGGTTGCTTCCTTAGGGGGTGCCTGGATGGACTCCACTTATCTGCCTGAGTTTTAAAACTTGCCCAGGTGTAACAGTGGCCTTGGAAACCCCAGGGCTTGACACCGCCCCCTTCTGCCCAGGACAGAGGACAGCTCTTCCTCATCATCCAGGCTTGTACATGAGCTCTCCCCTGCCCTGCCTGGAGGGGGTTCTGGCGGCTGTGCCAGGAAGACCCTGTGTGTCCTCACCCATTGCTTGTGCTCATGCGGGCACCCCTGCAGAGGGCGCCACCCGCCCCAGCCCACCCTCATCCTTGTTATTCTGCCCTTAAAGTTGCATGGGTGCTGGGTCCACACCTCACTGTCGGGTGAGGACTGTGAGCTCTGAGGCCCTGGCTGAGCCTGAACAGAGCCGTGACACTGACAACAGCCAGGGCTGGCTCTGAAGGGTGGGCCTGGCTTTGGGGCTGGACTTGGTCCTTCTTCGTCATAAGGGTTGCACAAGTGAATCTGCACCTCAGTCACCCCAGGGCACCGGCAGCACCTTCTCCTGAGCTGTCCTGTGTCACAGAGTAGCAGCCAGAGTCGCTACAAAGACAGACCCAGGCAGGCCAGTAGCCAGAGCATTTGCGTCCTTCCAGGTCCACGATGCAGGGCTGTTACAGGAGCAAGCACTGTGTGCAAAAACTGTAACAAATAAACCTTTCCTTTCCTAACATTGGGCTTCATGTATTTTTTCTCAGCGACAAGTAAAAAGTAACTAAGACACAGCCCCAGTCCTCAAGGGCATGCGAGTGCCACGGTGTCACAACAGTGAATGTTGATGGTTGTGTCTGGGGATCTTTCCCATGGGCAACAGTGGCACCCGTGATGGTCGGCATCCCCACCAGTTGACCTTGCCGGACCATGTTAGGACAGCTGGCTTCGCCGTGTGACCTCTGTCTTGTCTGGGGACAGAGTGTCATGGGCTGCTGTTCTGCTGCCACAGGTCCAGCACCTACCGCTCCAAGGGTTTTGACGTCACCGTGAAGTACACGCAGGGCAGCTGGACGGGCTTTGTGGGCGAGGACCTGGTCACCATCCCCAGAGCCTTCAACAGTTCCTTCCTTGCCAACGTTGCCACCATCTTTGAGTCAGAGAATTTCTTTCTGCCTGGAATTAAGTGGAACGGGATCCTCGGACTGGCTTACGCCACCCTGGCCAAGGTAAGGAGACGAATGCCACTCGGGGTGGGATTCGGAAACCGCCTTGGAGAGCGGGTCCTTGGAGACGGTTGCCAAGGAAAATCATGTAAACAGACATAAAATTTAAGGCACACAGCCACTTCTTTGAACCTTCCTAGAAGACATACTAATCGTAGCATGGACTGTCTTTATTTTGGTCTTGTACCTTAAAAAAATGTTAGAAGTGAATCATGTTAATGAGGGAGTTCCGGTAGGAGTCATCTGTCCACCTAGAAGACCTCAGACACAGGGACCAGAAGTGGGCATGAGAGCGAGCAGAGAGCCAATAAGAATTGAGGAAGCCCTGGCCCTCAGGAGCACTCAAGCCCTCACAAAATGGGGTGACTGAACCAGCTGTTCTCCAGATCCCCCCTGGGGCTCTTAGGTATGAGGGGGTGGGGACTTCCCCGCAGAAAGCATGGCCAGAGGGAGCAGCACCCATACCAAGGGTCACCTCTGCTGGCCCTGGCACCTTGCCCTGGCTCCATGAGTACAGCCTCAGGCTTTACAGCAGCAGACTTGGGCGAGGGAGGCAGAAGCGTAGCTCAGAGCAGTGGGCCCTGCTGGCCCACAATGGTCCAGAAAGGAGTGACCGGGGCCCAGCGTGCAGAGCCTGTGCTCAGCTCAAGTTCATTAGCACCTGAGGCAGATGGGAGCAGGTGGGGAGCCCCTGCCCTCAGCTCCCCAAGCAGAAAGGATAACAGTTACACACCCAGTCCGGCATTTGCATGAGAACACAAGTATTCTCAACACTCGTCTGGGACCATGCTGGAGCCAGGAGCCCCCATCTTCGGTACTGCAGGGCTGACTGTGGATCCTCAAAAAGCTAGAAATTTGCATTCCTAAACCCATGACCTTGAGCAGACTTTCTGAGACTGTCTGAAAATGAGGGATGTGAGCAGGACAGATCTATGCTAATTCTCCTGGCAAGGTTAGAGTAAACCTCAGTAATTTATAATTAATAATGTGCCCAGCTGCCCTGGCAGCAGATTCCTTTGAAGTTTTTCAGGGGTTTGCAGCATCTCCCCGTGACCTTTCATCTTTTCTTCTCTGTAATTCCAAGAGTTTTACCAAGCAGCTTCAGGCTCCTGGGACAGAGAAGGCAGAAGCCGATTCGCAGTGGGTGGACCATGGGGTGGGTGGGTGGGGTCCGGCTCTCTGAGGCCCAGCCTCAGTGGGGTCACAGCATGTGATGGCCTCTGCTCATCCCGGGGCTTCCACCAAGGCCATGTGTCACGGCCACCCTGGTTTCCTCCACTGCAGACACACGACCCACGTCCACCTGGACCCATCCTCAGCCACCATGCCATTTGGTCTGGCAGGCGATGATTATCCCATTTCACAGATTGGGAAACAGTCAAGAGAGTGGGGGAGCCGGGTTTCTGCTCTGGGCAGCATTTCTGCTACCTGCCCTGCCCGCTCCTAGGAAGGCAGATCTGACCAGGTCCCCAGCAGCCCACCCAGTCCTCAGGACCACACCTCTCCCCAACCCCGTGATCCAGATATAAAGTGTCCTGGCTCAGGGTACACTTGGAGAGCGTGCCGGTTCCGCCACAGACGCTGCACTGTGACCTCCTTGTCTGCACTGAATCAGGAAGCTCTCTTCTGTCTTCCCCCCTGCAGCCGTCCAGCTCCCTGGAGACGTTCTTTGATTCCCTAGTGACACAGGCCAAGATTCCGGACATTTTCTCCATGCAGATGTGCGGGGCCGGATTGCCAGTGTCCAGATCGGGTACCAACGGAGGTAGTCTTGTGGGTATCTTTCAGTCTTACGGGGCGAAAAATCACAACTTGCTGGGGGTTATTTCTGTTTTTCTAAAAACCTGCTCAGAGAGTTCAGATACATAGGCATGCGTAGGTGCCATGGAATTTTGTTAGTCTCTGTTATGGAACCTTTTAAAAATGGATACGAGTGGCTGGGGACTTAGCTCAGCGGCAAAGTGCATGCTTGGCAAGCACAAGGTCATGAGTTGGATCCCTGGTACCAAAAACAAAACAAAACAAAAAGGATACAGCTGGGTATTCTTTTTATCTTTCCTGACCATCCTGTCACCTAGAACTAGGATTCCCGTTGCATCCCCAAATTCCTGGACCATCCTGGGAAATCGAATAGTGGGTCCCGGAGGTGTGACTCAAGAACAGTGGGGACTTGTGGCCTCTGGGGCCTTGCTTGTGACGTCACGTGAGGGGAAGATGGAGACCCTTGGACAGCCTTAATGTCTCTCCCATCCTTCTATCCCCCTTTCCTCTCTACACACACACACACACACACACACACACACACACACGCACGCACGCATCAAGCAGAGAGGTATTTTCTTCTGAAATGGGTTTAAGGCCATGAGCCCTATGAATATACCTCACCTTCTATTTGGAATAACACAGGAGGCAGAAGGAATGCAGGGAAAGGGCCCCTCCCAGGAAGGGCGTCACCAGCCCCTCTGCTCCATGCCAGTCCTTGGTCACTGTCGTCTGCCCTCCGTCCACCTGCTCCCAACACTTTTCTAGCCCCTCTGAGGAGTCAGCAGCTTAGGGTTTCTGGCAGTACATGACGGTTTCGCAGTGACCTTGTGATTCAAGAAGCTCTCGTGTCCTGCTTTCCTCTTGTCTGGCCCCGGGGGTACTGACTGCGGCAGCGTTGCTGCGCTCTTCTGTGGCATCGTTTGGGGGGAGTCTTAGTGCAAGGAACCAGAGGCGTAATTGCTGCTGTCAGATGGAGGAAAGCACAGAGCACCTGGGCAAGACTGGGACACAGCGCTGCATGGTCTCTGGAGACGTGGCAGCCGAACAGTCCCTGTTCAATTTTCCAACATCTGTTTTTGTTTGAGAACCTCACGGTTAAAGAGAAAGTAATGATGTTGGTGACCTTTCGCCCTGCAAATGCATGCTCCTGTGGGGAAATTATTGATCATCTGTGTGGGTTTTTTGTCCTACAGCTGCAATTCTGTTCCTTTCCAGGTCCTAGGTGGGATCGAACCGAGTTTGTATAAAGGAGACATCTGGTATACCCCCATTAAGGAGGAATGGTATTATCAGATAGAAATCCTGAAACTGGAGATCGGAGGCCAGAGTCTTAACCTGGACTGCAGAGAGGTGTGTCCTGTGTCTCTGTCACTCCTGTCTTGGTGGGCCTGGGTACTGCGGTGCCACAGCTGAACCCCATACCTAAAGGCCAAGGTGCCCACCATTGCAAGACAGGGTAGAAGTGCCCTCCAGGGAAGGAAGCAGGGGCATGGAAGTCTGCATGTCCCCATCCTTAAGGTGGCCTCGTCTCACTGCTGGGCTTTCAGAGAGCAAAATTAATGTCCAGTGGGCAGCAAGGAGGACTGCATCCAACTACTGTCCCTTCACTCGCCCCTTCAGCCTGATGGGCCCTGAGCTCAGTAGAAAAGAATAAAATAAACAAAGTCACATCAGTACTGGGGACAAAGGACACAAACAGCCAGATTTGTCAAACCTCGTTAGTTAGCTTATCCTCCAGCGGGAGCTGACCCTCTGCCCTCCTGCGTCCACACCTTTTACCTGACAAAACTGGCCTGCATGTGTGCGTGACCTGGCGGTGCCCATGTGCCCAGTTGTGATGCCCCATCTGGGGGCAGCTGTATCCATGGCACTGCGCTTTGTCCTGGCTTCTTCCTGGCACATTAGGAGGTCGTGACGATGGCCGGAGGCCAGTTGTCTGTGCCACTTTTAGGATGGTTGATGGTCCCAGGTCCCCCCAGTGGCTCCAAGGGCTGGGATGCAGCCTTTACCACGTGGGTCTTGGGGGGTGTTCCAGACCCGAACTGCAGAGGTGATTGTGGTTCTGTGTGTGTCCCTTTCCAAGGATCAGCATCGGGTGGAAGGTTGTCTTCCTTCTCATCTTCTTCCCTGGGAAGGAAACAGCGAGTGGCTTTGGTACAGTTGGCTCAAGTGGCATCTATTAAGCCACTGGCACCTCTAAAGGCAAATGAACGGGTGCTCCCCCTGCCGGGGTGGGGGTGACAGGGTCCCCCATGAGGGAACGCAGGCACCCGGCTCTGCCCAGCGATGGCTGTCGATGTGGTTGTGTCACTTCCCTCCACTGGTCCTCAGTGCCCCTGACCCCTTAATTCTGAGAGTGAGAGATGAACTCTGGTCCCCAGCAAGCTCACGTGGAGCCTGAATCTGTGGGTGACAGGTGGTCGTGCTGGCAGGCTGTGGGAAGTGGGTGTCACTCAGCACCATCTCCCTCTGTTGCAGTACAACGCGGACAAGGCCATTGTAGACAGTGGCACCACGCTGCTGCGCCTCCCCCAGAAGGTGTTTGACGCGGTGGTGGACGCGGTGGCCCGCACATCTCTGGTGAGTCTGTGAACTGTCACTCTGTGCTCTCAAGATGCTCAAGGCTGGGCTTCCCTAAAATATCGCTTAAGGGGTTCACAGTCTTGACTTGTGACAGTCACTGGCAAATGATGTCTCTGCAATCCTGGAGAACTAAATCCTTTGTGCTGAGCCAATCCCCTCGTCCTTTTTATCTTTTATTTGAGATGGTCTCACTCAGTCACTAAGTTGTCCACGCTGGGCTCAAACTTGGGAACCCTCTGCCTCAGCCAAATTGTGGGTGTGTGCCACCACACCTGACTTCTAGAACCTTCATCTTAACCCCGTAAATCCTGGCCCAGTTCACCTGTGTCTTAGTTACTTTATCTTTGCTGAGACAAAGTACCTGGCACCCTCAAGATAAAGGAGGCAAGGTTTATTTTGGCTCGTACTTTTATAGAGGTTTCAGTTCATACTGGGCTGGCTCCAAGGCAGCATGGCCGAGCAAAAAACAGTTCATAGGACGGCAGTCAGGAGAGGACAGACCTTTCTTTCCCTTTTTATTCCGTCCAGGCTGTGAGCCTTTTGGTTGTTGCCACTGACACCCAGGGTGGGTGTTTCCTCTTCAATCGATCCATCATCTGCACCCAGAACAATGCTAAACTCATCAGTGAATTCATCCAGTATCACAAACCCTTGATCCAGCCACTCCCCAAAATCCCCATTTGGGGGTTTTGGGGGACACAGATATAATCCGTAACAGTGTAGTATGTTCATATGAGATAGAAATAATCTGCCACATAATTGCAATCAGGGAGGGTGATCTGAAAAGCGCCTTGTTAGGCAATTTTATCTTAAGGCCAACATCTTTGTGAGCACTTACACAAATCCTACCCAAGGGATGCAGGAAGCACAAGGTGTATGTTTGCGGCTGCAAACGGTTTTACAGCAAACTTTCTGTTTTTAATAAGTGGATGAAGTACGCTCTAAAATAGCCACAGCCATAAGCGTATAAATCACAGTAATTGCAGTAGGCAGAGGAATCTGTCCTCCTCCATCCACTTGCCCCAGTGCGCTCGCCATGCACAGCTGTGTCTGCACTGTCTATACCTGGCATTGAGGTCGGCATATTTACCCCAGCACCACACATTCGGGAGCTCTGCACTATCCCGCTCTGCAGTGACTGTGGTGTCTCTGGGTGATGGGACCAGCCAGACTCCTTCTGACCTCTGGGGACCCACACTTCTATGCAGTCTGCCCTTGACTGGCAGATCCCGCCACCCTGTCCAACTCATGGCCACATTGTAAAGACAGCAGTTCACAGATGGCCTGGAAGCAGACAGATGCTCCCCAGGTTTCCCTCCTCTGCGGCTCCATCCAGGCTGCACTGGGGTCTTAATTCCTGCTTGATTTTTACAGAAGACTGAGGTCAGTTGGCAGAACTAATATTTATTTCACGGCCGTGTTCTGGAGTGCAGTTAAAGCCATGGTGGAGGGAAGCAAATGTCTGGGGACCTGGCAGCTGGTATTCCTGTTGTCACCAGGTTTTCCATCAGAGTGGACCAGAGAGCACTGGACACAAGGCTTTGGGGGCCCAATGGGATTAGGTTTGGTCCAGTTTCTGCCCATTCATAGCTGGGCGCCTGGGGAGATTCCCCAGGGAGCCCCATGTTCTCATCTCAGAGCTGTTAGGGCTTTGGGATGAGGAGTCCCGCACCCCACTGTGTGCAGGCACCAGGTGAAGTGGCGCTTGTGTTGGATGGAGTGCTGCATTGTGATTGGAGGCAAGGTAAGGGTTACCTTTGGCTTAAGTGTTTTCTCTACATCTGCCGCTTGTGTCATCCTTGTCACCAAAAGCAGGCGTCTCCTGGAAAACCTGCTCCCCGGCACCAGCACAAGGAGCCAATAGTGATCCAGGTCCAGAAGAGCCAGGAACAGCTGGACCCTGGGATCTGGAGGCAGCTGGGGTCTGAGAGGACCTCAGGGCCATGTTCCTCAGATGGGGTCCTGTCCAGGCTCCAGATGTCCTAGACCAAAAACTGAGCAGGACACCCAAGGGAAGCAGCAGGGTCAGGGATTCACTTGGGAAAGAGAGGATCCACTCCACAGGGCACAGCAGGCCAAGAGGAAGAGCTCGGGGCCCAATGGGGCTTGGTGCCACCCTCTAGCCTTAGGGTTTGGGCAGGGCTGAGTGCTGGGTCAGAGTGTGACCCCTGCAGGGGGCAGCCTAATTTCAGCCCCTCCATGGGTGGAGATTTTGACCTTGTGTGGCCCTTGGAGGAGCTGTCATGGTGCCCCCAGCCTGTGGGGTTCAAATTGCATACTCAGCGACATGGTGATCATGGGGTCGGGGCCACCAAGGGTTGAAGAAGAGCTCTGTGGGCACGTGCAGGACCTGCCATGTCTGCGCTAAGCTGCCTGGTCACTGTGTCCCTCTGTGTTCAGACCTGGCACCCTGGCCTGGGCTAGCGTCTAACCCAGAAGGTGGGCCCAGCCCAGAAATCTACAAGCTGGGTCCGCCTTTATTTCCCAGCTGTCCTTGGCTACCTTCTGCCTCTGCCACATTTCAGATTTCCTGTGCAGTTTGAGAGGCTGCTGCTGAGGGCTGTGGGCCCTGGGAGGAGTTCCGGCACCTCTCCATGCCTCGGTTTCCTCATCTGTGTGGCAAAGGGGTGCCATCCTCTCCTGACTGGGCTTCCCAGGGTGGCAGAGCCACGGCTGCCGAGCCCTTGCCACCACTGCCCAGTGCGGTCTACGCTGCCTGTGTCTTGACCGTTGTCATAATAATTATTTAGTTACCACACCCCTCTTTAGGACCAGTGCCCTCTGCTCTGTGCACATGAAGCAGCAGTCAGCCCTGCAGGCAGCTGGCAAGTGGCATTGCTTTGATGCACGCTGTCCCTCTCGTGCGGCTTCTCATGGGTGGGTCTTGTTCAGATTCCAGAATTCTCTGATGGCTTCTGGACAGGCGCCCAGCTGGCATGCTGGGCAAATTCGGAGACACCGTGGGCCTACTTCCCGAAGATCTCCATCTACCTGAGGGAGGAGAACTCCAGCCGCTCCTTCCGCATAACCATCCTGCCTCAGGTATGGGCGCCGCCCCGCTTCTCCTGCCTGACCCTGCACTCATGGCCAACAGGGGTGTCATAGGTGTCACAGCTCTCCCAGGTGCCTGTCGCCACAGGAACAAGACCACGTCCAGAGCCAGGCTGCCTCCGGTTCTGGGAGATTGAGACAGGCCCAAATTCCCTGCTGGGGACAGCGACTGTCCGTGCAGTGGCCCCAAGGAAGGTGAAGAGCTGAGGGTGGTTTTGTAACATCTGCACTGACCCATTTTCTGCTTTTTCCTTGTACCAAAAAAGAAAGAAACTGCTGGGCGTGGGGGCCCACACCTGTAATTTCAGTACCCAGGAGGCTGAGGCAGGAGGATCACTGCAAGTTCAAAACCAGCCTGGGCTACAGTGAGTTCAAGGCCAGCCTGGAATCCATAGTGAGACCCTGTCTCAATTTTTTATTGGTACATTTTATCTATGCCTCAGGCTCATATTCATCACGGGCATTTGCATTGCACATGATAACCTCTGCCTCTGCGACCTGCTGCTGGGTCCTGGCCCCTGGTCTGTGGACCTGTCACACTGTGTCCACCATGGTCAGCCTGACTCTTGGGTTAACCCTCATGCCCCACTCCCTGGATTCAAGTCCTGAGCTCCTGCCTGCCCAGCTGCTGTGGTTTCCACCTACAGGCCCCGGGCCCCTCTCCGAGCCCCAGGCCCCTGGCCCTCTGCAGCTGAGCCCCAGCCCCAGCCTGAACCAGTGTCGCTCTTCCAGTGCCCAGATTCCTCTGACCTGTTCAGACAGCCCTGGCCTTTGTTGGAACCCTGCTGAGAAAAGAACCCATTGTCCTCTTGCCTGGGAATGTGTCTGTCCATCCGAATACTTTCCAGGCCACTCATCTGGCCCGGGGTCCTTCCTTCAGGGCGTGTTTTGAATTCTGCTTTTGTTTTTTAAAAATCATCTTGTGTTTCTTCTTGTACTGACTGTGGGTTCCCTGTGGGTAAGGACAGCCTGCGGTCTTTCAGGCTTATCTGGCTCCTGCAGACCCAGCCAGGGGAGCCAGCAGCTGTTTGCTGTGTGGACACAGCAGTGTCAGGGTTGTGATTTAATGGGTGAGGGACAGAGGGCTGGGCTGAAGGAGACACGGGTAGGAGCCATTTCAGGGGAGGACGGCAGTGGCACCGGCCTGTGTTCCATGCTTCATGTCCCTGTGGGGAGTGAAGGGAAAGTTTCGAGAGAAATGCAGCTCCCAGCCAGGCCTGGTGTGATCCCAGCACTCTGGGAGACTGAGGCAAGAGGATCACAAGTTTGAATCTCTCCTGGATGACTTAGTGAGACCCTGTCTCAAAAAAGGGGTGGAGTGTAGCTCACTGTGAACACCCTATATTCAGTCTTCAGTACCACTAAAGAAAAGAAAGGGGCAGGGAGAGAAGGAAAGGGGGAAAGGAGAGGAAAGAAAGGAGAAAGGAACAGAAAAGAAGCTACGTTCTCAATTCCACTCTTGACTCCCTGTAACTGTGAGCAAATGTCAGAGCCCTTCCTAGAAGAGAAATAACACTAATATTTGCCAAAAGACCTTCTGAGGAAGGCAGTGACCCCGGGGTGCTTGTGGCGATGCTAGATAAACCCAAAGCATCTCTGAAATTCCACACCTCTCACGATGACACTTCAGCCAGGCGAAAAGCAAAGTTAGACGCCATTTCTTCCATGTGGTTTGTCCACTGTGACCCCAGCTGGAGGACAATGGTCAGCCTGCCTCGGGGATTTCGGAGCTGCAGGCTTGTGTTGGATCCTCCCCTGGTTTGGGGCTAGGCACTGGGCGACAAGGAGTGTAATGAAAGGGGTCTGGGGACATGTCCCCTTACCCAGGAATGCAGAGTGACTGGTGCTTTGGAGGTGGAAGATATTTTAGCGGTTGGCTTTGCCCTGTCCAGTTTTGATGCTTGTGGGCTGTTTTCCTGGTTTCCGACCCATGTCACATGGAGTTTGCAACCTGCTGCCCTGGTGGGAAGGCAGAGATAACCAAAGGGAAGTGAGGGTCAGAGTCCCCCGGGGGGACCCTTGCCCATAGCCCTGTCCTGACGCTGGGCAGTGAGGGGCCTCCTCTCCCCAGGCTCTGAGCTCTGGGGCCCTGCGTGGAGCCGTCGAGCATTGGCAGTAACAGGTGGACAAAGGAGCCCCAGGGCCGTGCCAGGTCTCTGCTCCCTTTCCTTACAGGATTGTCCCACAACATGTGTGTTGAATCCACTTGTTCTGAGACAGGAAAGAACATGGCAGCAACAAAACACAGCACCTGGCATGCAGGGGAGGTTTGATTTTTCAGTTTTCAAAGAATAAATAAGACCTTTTACAATGCACTCACATTCTGTCTAAATGTCACGGGTTTTTCTGCTCCTGCTATTTTGGTTTTAGGCAGTTTATTGTAAGCCCTGACAAGCTCGAAGCTTCCCGACATGTTAAGAGACGTGTGGTTGGGAGTTCTCACTGCAGTCCGCCGGGGCACACAGCACCGACCACGAGAGCCCAGTGGGGTTTGCTTAGTGTTTGTATCAGTATCCACTGCCCGAATGAGCGGTGATCAAAATCTATGTGAATGTTTAAGCTTTAAGCAGTGAGTGGAGTAGAAAGTGGCCACGAATCCCCCTGAAGCCCTCCCTGAGGGTCTTTATGACCTATGACCAAAACTGCGGTGAGGGCTGCTGCCCAATCCCCACCAACAGAGAGGCAACCACGTCCTCATCCACCTGGGTCGCCAGATCAGGCCCCATGTGACTTCCGGCTCCTCCCAGGGTCAAAGCAGCCTTGAGAGGGAAACATTTAGGACAGTGAGGCAGCCAGGGCAGCTGGAGTAGTGACCCTGAAAACTGAAAACTGGAGTAGGAGAGGACTCCGGAGCTGCTGCAGGAAGCGGCCGGTCGATTACTCGGGTGTGTGCGCAGTGAGAGAGGATCTTGGAGGGAGTCATGGGTGTATGTGGTTTGTTTTTAACTGTAAAAATTAAACACGCCATGTTTTTCAGTCCCAACTTCATAGCTAACAAATGGGGCTTCTTACAGAACGATGACATTCAGAGGGGATGTGTGTGACACTGGGCAGCCACCGCCCACCTTCACAGGGTCCCTGCTCACCTGTCTGTGCATGGAAGTGCCTTGAGGTCCCCCCTTCAGGTGCCGGTCACACACTGGCCCGTGGACTGGACCAGAGGATGTTACAGGAAGCGTCTCTTCCCACGTCCCTGTCCCTCTCCACGGCATGACCATCGCGGATTTCACCTTCACCCCCAGTGTCCTTCTCGTCCAATCCTCCTCCACAGAGCTCTCCCCTCGCTCTCCATCTCCTTGGGTCTGCAGGATGCCCCTTTCCCAAGGCTCCGAGAGTGCTGTGGGGCTCAAGCATGGTATGACCTCCACCGCTTGGGGACGCTGCTGCTGATTGTGCTTTTCCTCCTTTTCCTCCTCTTCACCGACAGCTCTACATCCAGCCCATGATGGGCGCCGGGCTGAGCTACGAATGCTACCGCTTCGGCATCTCCCCCTCCACCAACGCGCTGGTGATCGGGGCCACCGTGATGGAGGGCTTCTACGTGGTCTTTGACCGAGCTCGCAGGCGGGTGGGCTTTGCGGTCAGCCCCTGCGCAGGTAAGCGACCCTGGTGACGACCAGAACTATGAGGTCCTGAGTGACAGGTCCTGATGGTACGTCAGCACCATGTGATCACATCCTGTGGCTAAAGTGTTTCAGGGACTCTGAGGGAATTGGGCAGCTCTGAGAAATCCTTCCGCCCAGGGCTGGTTGCGTTGCCCATGCACATAGGTTCACAGGAAGCTGAAAATCCGGGCCCAGCCCAGGCCAGCGGGGAGCGAGCCCGTGGCCCTTGCTTTTGAGACAGTGTTTCAGGGGAACCCATTGCCTCCCCTGTGCTAAGCACCTGCTCCCCACCAAGCTCGACCCTTAACCGTGTGAATTAATATTTCAACAGTTAACAAACACAGAAGGAAATTCGTTTATAAGTGGCCCGTATTTTCCCCTCAAAGCAGTCTCATTGCAAAATAAAAAGCACAGAGTGTGATCAAAACTGTTTGAGAAAAATTTATTACAGTAAAAAACGCATTTCTACAAATCCCTCTTACTGTGAGCCCACTCATCCCATCGTCCCTGCCGCTTCCCGCAGCAGCTCCAGAGTCCTGAGGGCCTTCAGTGGCGCTGTCCTGGCTGCTTCCATGTCCTGGGTGTATTCAAAGCATCTCCCTTTCCTGGTCATTCTTAGGGGAGGACCCCGGGAGCCAAACAGTGCCAGGTCCAGTGGCTAAGGTGGATGAGCAGACAGCGCCGTGTTTTCCCAAGCTGCCGTTCTGCTGGGCGATGCGGGCAGCAGCATTCACTACATTTTTGATCTCATAAAGACAGGAAAGGACTCCAGAGCTGCTATAGAAAGTGGCCAGGGTGGTGAGAGGATTTGGGGGGGATTCTTAGCTGTGCATCATACTGTTACTGTTAATGAAATATTCGCTGTAGTTTTGACGCCCCGTTGTAAATACTTAGCTTTGCTATTTCTTGAAACCCTAAAACACTGAGATGCTGGAGCCATTTTTCTGGTAGAAGTCCTTTGGGAGGACAGTGTGGGGTGATAGTGCATGTCATGGTCCCAGAGGATGGGCCAGATGGTCATGCCGGTGGGGCTGAGCCCAGGCTGCGTGCCTTTGGACAGAACAGGGACTCAGCGTGGGCATCCATGTGGCCCAGCCCATGGAAGGATTAGACTTCGATCCAGCAGCCCCGGCAGGCCTGGGAGAGGCAAGCGGAGCGACATAACCTAAAATGGAGCTGCGGGGGCCGTGGAGGGGCAGCCTGTGTCCGGGACATGGCCAGGACAGCCGTGGAGTTTCAAAGTAGGATTTGAAAGGACAAAAACCATTTTGGATCAGGGCAAGGGACAGAATAAAATCCTCAGGATGTGCTGGTGAGAGGAGAGAGAAGCTGGGGAGTTTAGAGAGAACCGATGGCGAGGAGCGAAATGAAAATTTGGGGCTGAGAGTGAGGTACGAGCTGGCCGTGCAGTTGAGAGAAAGGAGCTGCAAATTTGATGGGCAAAGTGCCTTCAATGTTAGCATGAACGGTGGGGCAGGGAGGGGTGCTGGCCTGGCCCCCTGAGAGATTTCTTGTCCTGGGGATTAACCCCGACGAAGCTAGTCCTTTGCTTTTTTGAAACAGGGTCTTACCAAATTGCTTAATTCTCCATTCCTACCTCCAATTTGAGACCCTCCTGCCTCAGCCTTGGGGAGCGGTGGGGTTTCAGGCATGTTCTACCACAGCTGGCTGAGATTTCACCCATGTTTTCACACCAGAATCATGACCTTTGGACGTGTCGATGGAGCAGGTAAGTGGCACTGCATATCCTTGTGTCACTGGCACTCCTGAATGCACAGTAACGCCTCAGAGACAGAGAGAGAGCAATGTTAAAAGGACGAGATTGCATCCCTACAATCGGAGCCTCATGTTCTGCACAGGACCCCCAGCCCTGTGCACATAAATGACAGATGATAAGGATCTTGTCTAAAACATCAGTTTGGGCTTGGTCGTGGGTGGACAGCCCTGGAAGCTCCTGCTGCTGGCCCAAAGCCTTCCCGCTGTGATGTGGTCCTGCTGAGACCCCTCTCTGCTGTAGCAGGTGGGACTGGGCGACCTGCAGCGTCCCTGCAGTACCTGGTAGTGGACATGTTACTGCTCATAACCCGGGGAGTCTGGGAACAGCAGCCCTGCCCATACTTTCTGCTCTCTCCTTAGCGACCACTAAGGCGGGGGCTGCTTTGGCAACGGCAAGTCTGCCACGTCCACTGAAACTTGTAGAGGGTGTAGTGACCAAGCCTGGTCCAAGGGAGCTGCTGTGGGACGTAGTTCAGTGCTTGGTGTCCCTAGCTGGAGGACGCGGTTCCCCATGTGTCACCCTGAATTGTCGGGTCCTCCTGCACATGGCTTTTCACTGTCAATTTGGTTCAAATGCGTTTAAGTTCTTGGTGCTTAAACATTTGGCTTCGCCAGCTGTGGGAATAGACCCTGCTATCCGGCTCCTTTACTGCACAAATTACGTGGCCATTAAAGCACTGACGTCCCCCAGGGCTGTGATTAGGGGAACCAGCCGGGGCTCGGTGGCTCTATAATCAATGGAGTGTCTTAATGTGATTAATTCTGAAATGTCTTAAGTGATAAAGTATTTAAAGTACAGAGATCTATGCATCATCCTTCAGTTTCCATGGGGATTAGTCCCAAGGCACCTCATGGGCAATGTAGTCTGAGCCTTTACACAAAATGACGCAGTACTGTGTGTAAGGTCAGCACTTCCCCCTCTCCTGTAAACTGCCTTAGGTTGCCTGTAGTAATCAAGTGCAATGGTGGTGCTTCTGTTCCACCACTCGGGACTGAGGAGAAGTCAGGACACTTTCAGAACAAAACTTTTTTTTCCAAATATTTTCAAATATACTCAGACGTGGTGGTGCACACCTGTAATCCCAGCACTTAGGAGGCTGAGGCAGGAGGATCACCATGAGTTCAAGGCCAATCTGGACTGCATGGTGAGACCCTTAAAAAAAAAATCAGGGGCTGGGGATTTAGTTCAGGGACATAAGCACCTGCTTTGCAAGCGTGAAGTCCTGAGTTCGATCCCCGGTAATGATAAAAAAAATTTTTTTGATCCCTCAAATATTAACTTTGATATATTTTCTTCAAAAGTTTCTCATAAAAATACAATAACGAGATTAGGAAGTGCTGTCGCCAGCCTCTCCCCAGAGTCCTCGCTGTCCTGCAGGTGATAGTTTTCCTCATAATTCTGCATGGTTATAATTGTACTCCACTGAAGCCAGTGCTTCAGTCATTATCCGGTGCGGCTGTGTAACAACTTCCCCCAGACCGAGCAACTTTTTTCTTCAGTTCTAGAATTGAACTCAGGGCATTTACACTGAGTCACATCACCAGTGATCTAGGGCAATAAAAATTTTATTAATTTTTTTTTGGGGGGGACAAACTCTCACTAAATCACCAAGTTGCCCAGTTTAGACTTGGACTTAGGATCCTCCTGCCTCAGCCTCCCAGGTGCTGGGATCTTTGAGTGTGCCACCATCCCTAGCTCTTAGCAGCCCTGTATTACAGTTTCTTGGGCAGCTTCCGAAGACCAGGTTGTGCCAGCCAGTCCTGCCTCAGGGTCCTGATGTCCACAGACCTTGCATTGAGGTCCCTCCATCTCACGGGCACATCATTGCCAGGGCTGCCTGGAGGGCCTCTAGGGAGGACGCCTGGTCACCCAGACTGCGTGACCAGAGATACAGAGCAGCCAGATGTGCAGGGCAGCAGCCACAGCCTTTCTGTAACCTGATCCCATTGGGGACCTGCCGTCCCTTCTGCCCTGGACAGTGGCCACACGGGCAGCGCTGCCACGACCTCCAGAGCTGCTGGCCATGGAATTTACAGGTACACAAACATGGGCACATCACCAGCCACTTCCCAGTTACTGTTCCTTCTGATTCTAATTCCTCTCATGATGCAGTATTGAGTGCCATGGGTCACCATGACCTCCTGGTTGGGCGTGGCAGGGTTTCTATGGCAGCGGCACCCTTTGAGTACAGCATCTCAGCCTGGGGTGTGAACACTCCCAGCCCACACACCCCGCACCCTCGGTCAGGGCTCGGGTGATTTCTAACATTTGCTGTTGTAAACAGTACCACCTCACGCACCTTGTGCACATGAGCGAGTGGAATTTCTCCACAAGTCCCTGGGCCAGTTGTGATTCCCACTGGCTGCTCAATCTGTCCTGCAGTCACTGAACCATCAGGGTGACACAGAGGAGGATTTCTTTCACTGCAGGGGTTCACACCTTGGGTCTCTTGTATTTTGCCGGTTGGCGTGTCAGGTCCCAGCGGGTCACGTTCAGGACTGCATGGCTGCTGACGTGTTCCCAGGATGTCCGTGCTCTCCTTTTCTGTCCAGTGCCGTTGCTCTGCTTTTCTAGGTACTCCCTGCATGCGAGCTTCTTTCAGCTTTAGTTTTGAGTCTGACATTTTACTTGGCTTTGGTGTCTTCACTGTTTTAAGTCCAGTGACACTGAAGTTACCAGTTTCTTCATGCCGACCTGTATGCCATGCTTTAAGAAGTGCTTGCAGAGAACTTCTCCAAAATGCACAGGATGCTGGGTTCCAACCCCAGCAATGCAAGAACCGACAGAACCTGAGGAAAGAAGTGCTTCCTTAATCCAAGGAGAAGGATACAGATTTCTCTAAAGACACTGCTTACTTTGTCTTACTTTTTTCAAGCAAGGTATCTCATTTTTGTAAGGACCATTTGCTCAGCATTGTTTACTGAATATGTGGATGTTTTCCTCTTGAATTTTTCTAATAATTATGAAATTGTTAGTACATAGGAAAGACTAAAAATAATACAATGATGTCCTGATATGCCAACTGTAGATTTAATAATTGTAACATTTTCCTATTTCCCATTATGTGTGTAGATGTGGTTCTTGTGGGACCATTTGGGATAAGTTGCAGGTCTCATGACATTTCTTTATGGATCTTAAAAACAGGGACGTCCTTCTGCCTAATCCCACTGCCACTGTCAGATCTTAAACTGCCAGTGTTTGCTTATAACCCCTG